GAGTTTGAGCAAACAGCAGAAGCAGAGAGGCTGCCCTGACCTCCTCCCCCCCTTTGCTCTTCTTTGAAACAGACTTTAAAGCCCTCCGGTCAGAGGCGCCCTCCCCAGACCCTGGAGGGCGGGAGGGCGGGAGGGAGGAGGGAAGCACCCTTATCTCTGAAGACGAAGGGGCACCGCCCAGAAGAGGCCTTGCTCAGTTTTCCCTGGTGACTATAATTCCTTCATACTCCTAAACTGTCATCCACAACTGTCCACTCTTCATCAAACCTGAAACAAAATGCACAGGGCTGTTGCTTTGCTTTCTTTCTTTTTTTTTTATTGTTAAGATTTTATTTATGTATTTTTAGAGAGGGGGGAGAGAAACATCAATCAGTCGGCTCTGGCACGCCCCCAACTGGAGACCTGGGCTGCAACCCAGGCTCGTGCCCTGACTGGGAATCAAACCGGCGACTTGTTTCTTTATTTTGTCAGGAAGGCTCCTATGTCACATAACACTTACATTAAATACATCTGATGGTTTTCTGTGAATAGGACTTCATCAGTTTAATTTTTAGATCCAGCCAGGAGCCCTAAGAGGGTCAAGGAAACCTTTTTCTCCCCTACAAACTGCATCATCGTTCCAGATGTGTGCAGTCCCACCTAGCTACTGAACACGCCCCATCACCTGCTGTCCCTTCCCACCGGAAGGGCGGTTAGTCTGTAAGTACAAAAAAAAGGCCAATTTCTAAAGACCCACTATGAAAAAAGAATGTAAAATAGCTCGTTAATAATCTTATTATATTGATTACATGTTGAAATAATGCTTTGGCTGTATTGGGTTAAATAAAATATAGTACTACAACTAATTTCACCTGCTCTTTTTAATTTTTTTAATTTACATTTTATACTTTTTAAACATAGCTACTAGAAGATTTAGTTATTCATGTGGCTTGTGTTTTATTTCCATGGGATAGTGCTATTTTCCACAGCCCAGCCGGCCGTGGCTTCCACTGAACTGGCTTTGTAAGGCGACTGTACTTTTCTTACCCGGAAAGCAAACTGAGTCTCTCTTACTCTGTTATCCGGTGGCGCTGTGCTCTGAGCAGCCCAAGAGTCCTTGAGGAAGTCCCTTCCCTTCTGGGTGCTGTGGGCTCCTCAGGGCGGCTGGGGCGGACCTGAACATTTATTTCAGCTCCCTCATCTCCCTGGTCCTCTGCCACCAAGCCACCACCAGGCTTTCTTCCAACTCTCACACAACAACAATGTGTCCACATCACTCAAAACCCTACACAGATCATCATCCCTTGAAACAATGGAACAAGTGTTGCTAAAAAAAAAAAAAAAAGCCAGTCTGTTACCACCTGTTGGACTGGCCAGAGGGAGCAGGAAGGGCCTCAGCTGCCACCTGGGAGCCTCCTTGCCTCCTCTCTCACTCATCTCAGGATTTACTGGTTTCCTCTTGCCAGAGACTTGGGACTTGAGCCTCTCCAGCTAAGTTCAGAGCACAGCCTTTAGCAGTTTGCAAGGCTCCCAGAGCAGGAGGGGGAGGGGGCAGAGGGGGTTGGGGGGTGTGGTTCTGACACTGGGAACTTCAAAAGACTCTAGCCACGCTCTTAAAAGTCTAGGAAAAAAACTGCCTGACACTTTTTCATCACTACGACCCTTGACACATAAAGGGGCAAAATTTGAGCCTCAGAATCCTGCCCCCCGTTTTAAAAAAATACATGCTTTATCCACATGAAGACTAGCTACAGGCCAATTACTGACACGCGCTCTGGAGGTGGCGGTGGGTCCAAATCTCCCTCCCGCCACGCGGTCGCTGTGGGCCCCGAAGGCTGCTCCGTTCGCCTGCCTCGGTTTCTTCCCTGTAGCAATGGGGGCAATTCCACTTGCCTCATACTGCTGAAAAATCAAATAATGGATGAAAAGGCGCCTTGCACAGAATAGCTGTTTGATGGATATTTAGCTCCTTTCCCCTTCAATTGTCCCAGGGCAATTAGGCAAAGAAGATACTAAAAACCTGGTGGATAACTGGAAATAAGTCCTCTATACTCTAGTAAGTTTTGCTTTTCTAAAAACTCTGAGTCTCGGTGCCTGGTACAATTTAAATATCTGGTGCGAGAACTTTGCAAAGGCAGGGGTTAGCTTTGCAGACCTAGGGCGGCACCTGGGGAAAAAGGTAGGAGCTAGGTAAAGGGGTTCAGAACAGGCCTCCACAACATGCACTACTTTGGCACACGGATTATTTCAAGCTGAAGGCCATTGAGACCCTGCAGAATCAGGAGGACCTCCTGCCCCTTCCTCAACTACCTAGGAGAATTTAAACTGGAGGCCGTGTCCATAATAAGAGTTTTTACTGCTGAGTGTCTACACCTCTTACTGTCTAGGGAAAGCCCCTCTTCCCCTGTGAAGCCCCAAGGCATCTTACCTTAATCCTAAGGATGCCATATAAGCCTCATTCTACCTTTCTGTCTCTGAACTGCTCTCGTGTATGGGGTCTCTGACTCTTTGATGTATGTTTCCCATCTGTACACATGTAATTAAATTTGGTTATTTTCTCTTGTTAATATGCCTCATGTTGGTTTCATTATTAGACCAGCTGAAAGAGCCTCGAAGGGTAGAAGACATTTTCTTCCTCCTCCACACAAGAGTTTGTTGAAGGAACGAATGAATGTTGGATTAAGTGCAAGTGGGGTCTGGTGTGTGTGGGTATAAGAAGCACTAGAAGAGAGAGGTCAAAATTATCCGGGGGTTTGCTGACCAGTGTGGAGGCTGCAGCCCGTGAAGAATTATTTGGCAGAATGACATTTCAAATCTGTTTAACGGCTTTGTGGAGCCTTTTTTCTAAGGAGCAAAGCTCAAGGTGCTTTGTTAACATGTAATTCTCCTTCACTCAGTCATGCTTTACTCAGAAAGAAAGGTTAAAACACACTCAGAGGCCCTGGCCAGGTCCCCACACACCAAGATTGCAGGGTTCGATCCCCAGTCAGGACACATTCAAGAATCAACCAATGAATGTATAAATAAAGTAGAGCATCAAATTGATGCTTCCCTTTCTTTTCTCTCTCTTTTTCCCTCTCTCTCTAAAAATCAATAAACAAATATTTTTAAAAACACACTGAAAACTGAATATTTATTTCTACGTGAGGAAGCATAAACAATTCAGTTTTTTTCCATTTTTTTTTTAACCTAGCCTGGTGGGTGGAGCCTAAAAGATGGAATTAAATGAGTGGCTCTGTGATACAAATATATGTTGTCAGAGTATTTTTAAATGTGCGGTTCTTAGCAGGTCCTGGCCTTGGGGGGGTGCGGGGGTGATGAATGAGTAACGGTTCTTATTCAATGTAAAGATAGCGCTGGCGGTAAGTTCCCTCACTGGTGCACGAGGACGGATAAGAAAGCGTGGTAGTTTACCCTTAATGATTAACAAAACAAGTGTTGGGTTCTCTGATCTCACCAGGCCACCCGAGGGCTGGTCCCAGTTCGTTCTGCCCTCCCCAAACACCGGCCTTGTCTGTACCCTGTTCTACTGCAAACAGGGAGATTATCTCTCTGGGAGTCTGAAAGGTCCTCCCCTTCCCCCTTTCCCCCAGCCCCAAGGCTTTACCCTCCTGTAAAGGAAAAATCCAGTGAAGTGAAGCCCACCAGCAGGGCTGCAGTGGGGGTGTTAGAACTCCCCATCACACTGCCTTAGACGCTCAGGCTTTTAGAGGACACGGTAAACGTGACCTTCAAAGCCTGTTTTTCAGTTGCCCTGAACAAGATCCATCTTGTTTCACCCCCTGACTCCAGATCAATTCCATGTTTAGAACATTAAAACCCACCGGTGGAAAAACAAACAAACAAACTGGGTAAAGGATTTCATGTTGCCGGTGTGTGTGCTAAAGAGGCCACTCTGAATGTTTTCACTGGTTGCCTACCCAGTCGCCCAAGGGGCAGGACTGAGTGGTTGGGGCAAATTTAGCTCAAGTCGACTTTCTGGTGGTGAAGACAAACAGAATGAAAGTTTGCCTTCAGAGAAGTTTCAGAAATTTCTGACCCAAAGAAGAAATTTCTAAATGAAAGGTTACATTTTCTAAATGCGATGAACAGGTTAAGGGAAAACAGGCCTCTAGGACCCAAGGGTCACCAGTCATTTTTAAACACATAGCCGCAAGTGAGTATGCCTCGGGAAGCCGTGAGTCCTGGAGACAGGGGGTCCAGGTGGAGAAGAGCCCCGCGTATAACTTGCTTCAAATATTTGGAGAAGATAATCAGATTCATAACACACCCAAGTTTCTGGGTGATGACCACAATGAGATGCAAGGAATTTGAGATGCTCCTTCCAAAAAGAGGGAAAGAGAAAGGATTAAGAGATAAGCTTACTAGGGCTTTCCAAGTTTTCTAGTCTTTAGAAATTCAGAGTGAGATTTCTTCTCTATCCTGCTGAACTTGGCTGTAAACCAGAGGGAAGGAGTTTGGCAGAAAGCACTGCTCCTACTGTCCTGGCCTTAGCTGTGTATAACAGAAGGTAAGGACAGTGCCAAATGTGACCAGGGCACCGCTCTGCGATTCCATGTGGTACAGGAGATACTGCGCTCTAGGAAAGCTGTTGGTCAGGCTAAAAGCACCTGCTAGATTCTGATAGGACCAGAATAGTTTGGCGTCCTGGAGCTGCTGCCAGAGAAAGGATAGGTTTCCTGAAGTCCAAGGTCTAAGCTGGTGGACTGACAGGTTCAGGAATAAAATCATCAAAACCATCATATGTTTCTAAAGCATGCTTTCTGCTGGGGGGGGGGGGGGAAACGGGGGGGGGGGATCTCCTTTTGTTTCCCCCTGCCCTTCTCTTACACAGTCATTCAGTCATAATCACTCACTCACACCATCAGTCACACCCAGCCACCAAGTCACCCAGAGTCACAAACACAGCTGAAGTCAGAAAACTGGTCTCCACGCAGTTAAGGGGCAGTTAGGTAAAACTGAACAGTCCCACGAAGATATGGTGCCCATTCCCCTAAACGCCCAGGAGCACTGCTACCCACCTGATTGCCAAAGACAGCTATGGAGCAGGCCGTGGAGACTTCGTTAGCCCCGAACCAGACAGAAGCGATGCGGGACGGCATGCCCAGGATGAAGACCTGGGCCACGGAGCAGATGACCTGGCCCAGCACAGTGACTGGGAAGAGATGTGGCTTCAGGCTCCCTAACTTCACCCAGGCCCCCAGGCAGTTGAGAGCGGAGCCAGTCAGGGCGATGGTGCGCAGGCCGAATTTTTCCAGCAGCCAGGCCACCGGCAGTAGTAAAGGGATGTAGGTCAGCATGTAGCACATGGACAGCCAGTCGATGGCAAAGGCACTGACGCCGTAAAAGTTCTTGAAGATGTTATTGATGGAGCCATACTGGATCCACTGGAAGGCGTTGCACATGGAGTAAGAGCTGAACACCAGGACCACCACCCAGCGGCGCTTGCTCACCTTGATCGTGCTGAGGTCCTCGGGGCCCGAGCTACTGGGTTGGGCCAAGACACCAGGTGCCGCGGTACTGGGGAAGGCTGAACTGCTGGGGTTTGCAGAGAAGCTGGGGTGGAAGGAGACGCTGGGATGGGCCGAGACGCTGGGTTCCGTGGAGATGCTGGGATGGGCCGAGACGCTGGGGTGGGCAGAAATGCTGGGGTCCTCCCGGAACGCCGCCTCCCGTTCGGGGGTGCCATCTCGCTCCTCCAGGTTGGGATCTTCATTCACCATGGCCACGGCCTCGCCCGGAGCGCTGGGCAGGTGCTGAGAACCCCGGCAGTCTTAAGGCACAGAAGCCTCGGCTGGCCCCCTAAAGCTGATGGGGCAGTTGCTCCCGTCTGCCCCAGAAGAAATGGAGATCCAATCCTGCGTGAAAGCCACGAGTGGGCCTCCCAACTTTCACCTCCCAACTTCTGCCCCCACTTTTCCGTGGGGCCCGCTGTCCGCCGGCCGCAGGCGCCTCGAGTCCACCTAAGGCTTTCTCGCCACGTTCAGAGCTTGATCCGGGAAAAGACTTAGCTCCTAGCGCAGCCACTTCTGCCGGACTCCGTTTGCTCCCGGGCCGGCTCGGGGCCTCGCCCCTGGGGCGCACGTGACCGCCCCGCCCCCGTCCCGCCCGGCTTCCCTCCCCCCGCCCCCCCACCTCCTCCGGCCGGGCGGGCCTGACAGCCCAGTTGTTTCGCCACAGTTTGAGGGGTGCATTCCTCCTCCACGCCCCAGGCGCCATGGAAACCGCCCGGTTAACCCCCACCCCCTGAACTGCCCCTCAAAGTCATTTGCCCCCCTCCTAGAAGACCACGCGAGAAATCCTGCCCTCCTTTCCGAGGTAACTCTCCAAATAGTTTCTTCGCACAGGTCCCCATCTTCCGCGCGCGTGCACCGAGACCGGCGCCTCCGGAATGGTCTGGGGAATCCAAGAGGAATTCCCAACTTTTTCCCACTTGGCTGGGCTCCCAAACCCTCCCTGAACTGTGGGTATCAAGAGAGATTTGTAGACTTCACGGCCTGGTTGCGCTCCGGGAGTAAAGGGGAATTGCAGAAAGCTCACTTCGTCGGTTGCTTTCCGTGCTCACTTCGCCTTATGGGGGGGCGGGGGTGGGAGGGACTCATAGTGGAGCCTGTTCGACAGGGCTATTCTGTCTTGACGGATCCCGGGGCTGCCTCCTTAGGCGAGGACGACCTGAGGGTGGAGAAGAGGGGCCAGTTGGAGATGCTTCAGAGCTAGCGGCGGTTGCGTGGTGAAGGGCAAGGCACCTAAGTAGCCCTGGGCTGCCACCTGCTGGGCTGGCCATTCCGGAGAGTAAATCCTAAACTCAGGACCTCCAGAAAGCCAGCCCTGTAGGCCTTTGTCCGCTGATCCATTTCAGCTCTCCGGGAGGGCTGGACTTTGTCCCTGGGTTCAAACACCAGCTTAGTTGCTCCAAGGTATGTAATGTAAATTAAGGTACTCCACCTCGCTTGGGTTTCTTTATCTGTAAAATCGGGATGATGAAATAGTGCCCACCTCACAGTGATGTTTTGGGGCTTGCAAGACTTAAGACACAAAAGCACTTTGAAAATGCCCTGCAGATAGTAAGCCTTTCATGAGAGTTGATTATCCTTAACAATTAAAAAGCTAACATTTGTCGTATTGTGCTTAACGTATTTACTGCATTAGCTTACTTAACCATCACAAGAATTCTGTAAAGTGGTTACTATTGTTTGCCTGCATTTCATATATTGATCAGGAAACTGGGGCTCCTAGAAGTGAAGGAACTTCCTCCTTCAGGGCCTGGCAGGTCTGAAGAGCATTACTTCTCCTGCAAGTCTGCATTGGAGCTACAGCCTAGCTACTCAAGTGCAGCCTGGGACAGCAGTGTGGGCAACCCCCGGGAGCCCCTTACAAGGGCAGAAGCCCAGGCCCACCCCTGACCTCCTGAACTGAAGCCTGCATTTTATAATATCTCCAGGTGATGTGTTTATCTGCACATTCAAGTTTGAGAGCCATAGGGTGCCACTGCGTTTTGTTTATTTTCTTTTTTAATTGTTGGACCAAAAATGAAGAATTTAAAGCTCTGTAACCCAATCACATGGGAGCCCTGGCCAAGTAGCTCAGCTGGTTAGTGTCATCCCAATACACCAAGGTTTCGGGTTCAATCCCTGGTCAGGGCACATTTAAAAAGCAACCAATCAATGGGTAAATAAGGGGAACAACAAATCAATGTTTCTCTCTCTCCAAGATTAATAAAAAATAAATAAAACTTTATTTTAAAAATAAAATAAAATAGAGGCACATGAGGGAACTCTTAACATTCTCAATGCCTCAGCCACAGCCCCCATCAGGGTCTCTGGGGACAGAGCCTGGCATCTACACGTGGGAAGCTCCCCGGGGGGATGTCAGCATGCGCCCGAGTTTAGGCATCAGTCGTGGCGTCAGAACCCTTGGCTGCAAAAACGAGGCATCACACTGAGGGAGTCAGACCGGGCCTCGGTTCAGCAACCTTGGTACTTGAGTTCTAGCTCAGAAAGAATTTAGAGCCAAGACTCAAAGTATAACAGAAAGTTCATTTAGAAAGTCGCAGAGGCAGACGTGAGCTGTGGGAGAAATGAGCTCAGAAAACGAATTACAGAGGGAAAAGAAGGGTCCCTGGAGATTAGGGGAGAGAGAGAGACCAGGAAAGCGTGCCTGGGGGACGAGGGTGGGGGGTGTTCCACAGAGAGCCAAGCTGGGTCCTCCATCCCAAGGGCTTCTAGGGACCAGGGTTTTAGGGTCCCTAGACCCTAAATAGAATACTCATTCAATAGAATACTCATCAGCTTTCCAGGCGGGTCCTTTCACAGTCATGGTCTCCACTGATTGGTCGGCACCGGGGGTCATCAGTCAGTGCAGCTGACCCGGATGTCAGCCACGGTGTCACTCCTCTGATTTTGCTGCTTTTCTGGGCCTGGAGCTGAAATACAACTGAAGCCCAGATGTTACCCCTAGGGGTTAATGCTTAAGGGAGTGATGGTGGAGGGGCCCACAAGGGAGTGTCATGAGGCCACTCTTCAGCACCTTGGTCTTCCACAGGGCGTCTACTGCATAACATGTGAGGGGAGGAAAGGTCAGGAGAGAGTCTGGACCGCACAACCAGCACTGTGGAAGGTCAGGGGGTCTAAACTGCAATATGCTAGGGGAGGAAAGGTTACCCTGGGGGCGAGGTCCTTGTTTTCCTAGGTTTGCCTGTTGCTAGGCACCTGGGGCTTTCCACCCTTTGACCTTCTGTACCTGGCCCATCGTCCTTGCTCCTCTCATGCCTGTCCAACTGCCTACTACAGAACCACCAGTTCACAGGAGGGGGAGCGCTGCTCGGAGGCACCCACTTTTTGGTAGAAATTATAGATTATAACAGAATGTTTGAAAAGGAAGCATACTCAACTGAGAATTTCTACACTAACTTCTCTATTCTCAGAGTTCCAACAGTGTTTCCCATCATTCTTCATGGGAGTACAGAGAGCACCGAACCTCCACTCTCTTGGAAAGATCTCTCACCGTTTCTTTTCCCTAGGTCACTGCGGTTCTCTCCACTGTTCAGAATACAGTCTTAATTTCACTTTACAGATATGGAAACCGAGGTCCCAAGAGTCAGAGTGTATTATCCAAGTTCCACAGCTAACCAGCATAAGAATGAGCAACAGTAAGACAGATTTCCTGCATTCCGTTCCGTGAAGCCTCTCCCAGGCGCTTTTCTGGGGCAGTGCTTCAATGTGATGACTGATCCCAAAGGGCCTTCCCTGGGTTCCCAGTGATGTTTGGGGCGGCCTTTTCAGATGGAGCGAACAGGCTCTGTGGTGAGCTCTGGATTCAGCCTGCTCGAGACATGAAGTCTGTTCTGCCAATATTGGCTTTGGGATCTTGGGCACTCAACCTCTCTGTCCTTCAGTCTCTGAATCTGTAGAAATACCTGCCTCACAGGGTGGTTGTGAGAATGAAACCAGATAATGTGTTCATTCCTTCCAGAATATTCTGAAAGCCACCAGGGTGCTGCTGTCTCTTGGCTGATTCCCAGCAGGGATACAGCAGCTATATAAATATTGGGTGGCTATTACATAGAGTGAAATATTAAGTATTCGCCCATTGAAAAAAACATTTATTGAGTAGCTTACTGTAGGGAACTGCTTCTAATGGCATGGAAATGTAGCTCAGCCTCCACATGGAAAACCAGTGGGGAGCAAGTGGCATGCAGGGCCACGCCCACAGAGAAGTTTTCCCATGGGGAATCAGGCTTGCATTGTACCCAGACTGCTATAAGACTTGCTTTCGCTAAAACCCCCTCACCCTGAGTTGAGGCACAAGGGCTTACTGCAACTCCCTAAAATCTGAGCTAAACCTCCCAGGTATGGAGTGTAACCTGGTTCAACCACTTTTCCCCTTGGTCTGCAACATCCTTCTCTTTGAAGTAATTAGTAACATTCTTTCCTTTGTTATCTGTTAAAGGCATTCCCCTGAAGTGAACCTGTGCATAGTAAATGAGGACTGCCCTCCATGTAATGCACCCAGAGAAGCAATAAAAGCCTGTCCAGACAGGGACTGAGCTCTCTGGCCCTCTCTCCGTGCCCCTCCCCTCAGAGAGTGGCCTTGCTGTCCCTTTTTCTCCACAGGACTTCTGTTGTCCCTGTTCACAAGCAGCCACAACATACACGGATCCTGCCGGCCAGGATCTGCCACAGCTTATGATGTGTTACATTTATTTATCAATATGTGCTACCTCTAGGTATCCATAGGTACACCTTAAAGGGGAAGGAGAAATAGATTTTAGGGGTTGCTTCCCAAAAAGGGACCCTGGTTCCTGGTTTCCTCCTAACTGGCTCCCCAAGGAGCTTGAGGAAACCTCTGGCACTGAACTCAGCTTTTGTTGCTTTCTGCAGGATAGCAGCAAAGTCTGCCCCCTAGAGGCTGAAAACAATTTCTAGCAGTGAGAGCAGAACTTGGAGGTCAAAATGAGAACCTTATTGGTAGCTCACTGCCATCTGAACAAGGGGCTGTAGTTGTGGAAGGCATGGTGTTTGTCCAGTGCATGGGAAAGCTGAATTGCTAATGAATGAATCAGGCTGAGTCCCTGGATTATTCCTCCTTAAAAATACCAACACTTGAAATTTGCAAAAATGTTGTCCATACAGATCTTATATGTGTAATACTTCACACTCACAAAATCCTGTTTGCCTTATCTCCCATACTTGCCATGGATTTCCAGCTTGTAAGGACTTGGGTATCTCTTTGTGTGCTCTGGACACTCTGCAGCATTTACTGATATAAGCTATACAGCACATGCTCTCAGCCCCTGTTGGCAGAACTGAGTTACACATCACCACGAAACTTCAAGTGACCTGGACAAAGAAGAGATCCAACAGGTTTTCCAAGATGAAAGGTGTCATAAAGTGCACCCCCCCCCCACACACACACACACAAACTGTTGCAGAATGTCATCTGAGTTATCATCAGCCTGGAAATGAAAAGTCAGGGGAATGATGCTTTCTGAAGGAAAATCATCATCTTGGAATTTTATACCCAAATTACCAAAAGAAAAAAGCATGAGAAGAGAATCACATATTTTCAAACATGACATGCAAGGT